CGGGTCTACTGATGATTCGCTGCTGGAACCTCGGGTCCACTGTTGATCAGGCATAAAATACAGAAAATACAGTCTTATAATTGAGCTGTGTTAGATGAACTTGCCGCCAAATCTTAAACAACCCGGTTATGTAGATGTGTTCGCTACTTACCACAATACAATCACGTGGCCCATTCGCAAGGAATTCGCAGTGGTAGAGTTTTAAAGGAGATAAATGTATGCAGAAAACGATACAGTAGCAAAAAGGGCTCCCACATAAAGAAGCCAATATCAGTATGAGGCGATGTGGCTCCAGGGGAGGGGAGGGGGACAGCCCATACATTGCGTCAGATTCACGAACTTTCAGTTTTGGGACTAAGCTTTGGAGGAAAAGAGGGAATCCGAGCTGCGTAAGCAAGTTCTCATTTTCTCCGGAATTCGTCCCTTACCGTTAGGCTTAGTCCTAGTGGCCTTCGTACAGACTGGTCCTCCCACCCCTCCCCGGAGGTACATTGCGCCCAGTATGATTCGAAGCGAGTCACCTTTTCGTATGATTGCTGGCTAGTTTAGGTCTCGCAATAGTTCTATTGCATTCCTTATCACTTCGGCAAAATGATTCGAAAGCTTATGGTTATGTTTTTCTAGCCTTGTCGATTTTCCATAATGTGACTCATCTTGACTTCTAACAAATCAGGAAGTGTCCGTACGTGCAGACTTTCTGTCTAACCTAGAACACCCACGGAACTTTTGTAGAGGATAAGCTTGGTTATAATAACGGAAGGAATGTGGACGCTTTGAATCGATTTCTTCCTTTGCTGTGATTCAAGAGATCGTATATTAGGCCATATCCTAATCGTCGTTGTTGTAGTTGATGTTGTTCGTCCTAGTTCTTCTACATATTGCTTTTTCAGAGCATCGGCTGAGCCTCCTATTGCTAACAAACACAGGATGGTTAGTTTCATATTTTACTGTATTTTAATTCATTCTAAGAAATATTGACTGCTTCAGAAGGTAGCCCATCATTCAATCTTATCAGACCCTGAGAAAGTTTAATCTTGGTATTTGGAAGTTGTAGAAGTTTGATACCGTCGAAATTTTAGGGAGCACAAAGTTAATAAAGTTGAGTAGTTCCTAATCAGTAAAACCTTTCTGAGCTATCCACATTCGACGTCGTATCATTATGAACTCGTTGGTGTTACGAAGTTCAGTGGTGGAGCTGTTTCTCAGAGATTCTAGTAAAATTGAGCGGCTTGTGATTAGATTTGAAGATTTCAAGAACATTCGCTTCGAGTAATAGAAATGAGTAAGGCCCGGTCATACTTTGCGACCGCCCTGCAGTTTTTCTTGCAATTAGAGTGTGAGTTAATTTTCGCTGTGGGGCCACAACCACAATACTGAGCATCGTGCGTTTGTGCGGTTGCGCTTGTCGATAGGAATCCTCCACGTAAGTCGCAAAATCGCAAACTATCATAAGACCCAGGCTTACGCGTAAAACAAGTGAAATGTCATGGTTGAATTAGTTTCAACCATAGAAAATATTTGTTCTGAAGCAATTGTTGTCTGTAACAGAGTGAGCAGCAACTCGATTGCGCATTGGATTTGATGCGCCGCCTACCTCCACAGCAGTGCGAGCGAAATCTCATAGATCTCATCGACCTCGTTCCAGGACTCTGCGAAGACCTCTTGGGTGAGCTCACAAGTTGTAAAATTGCAAAGCAAATATTTTCTGTAACGAAATGCAAAATATTTAGAATGCTATAATAGTAATGTTCAGGTACTGTTGATCAACCGCTGAAAGTGGCGAAAGACAAGGAAACTGGCAAGGAATACCTCCTTTGTGATTACAGCAGAGATGGAGATAGCTACAGGTTGGCATAGAGAAAAGTAGAGATTTGTATTACAAGTTTTGCAATCACTTTGCAGGTGTACAGGTAAATTCTGATCACGTTATTGCTATTAACAAGTTATCTGTTTGATTCCTGTACCATTTCTTTTGGCTGGTGTCCGAGTCCGCGAACAGTCGCAGGTTTCGCCTAATCCGCGTGATTCGAGCAACGGATCACAGAAATCGCCACTGCGCCGCTCAGTGTAAGGTGCTCTCCAATCCTTTTCGCAATTTCTGCTTGATGGGGGATGGCTGAATGACGAGTGTTCATGATGCTACTTGTTTCATATTCAGTGTTTCAAATGTTCAAACGGGGCACTTCGATTTTTGTTATTTGCGCGAATGACGCGAAACCTGTGACGGATCGCGGACTCTGACACCAACTTTGAGGTGAAGGGATAGTTGGTTCTCCATGCTGGGCGCTACACCTTATCAAATTGGTGGCGGATAGAGTATTTTCGAATGATTCTAACTTCATATTAATGTGCAATCGGTTGCAATGGATAAACAAGCAAAAACATCCTTTGTTCAGATCTCCGTGGACGAACACATATGATCCTCCGGCAGAGGATGCCCAGCTGCCTTCGGAAAAGTTGAGAAAATGGGAAATCGAAAGCCATATGCCAAGCTTCGAAAGGATAAGAGATATGTGGGTTGTTCCATACATTTTGTGGTAATAGCTAATTGGCTCATTTTGGTTTGATATTCAGTTAAAGGAGTAATTTGAACAGCTGTGGCATACCTGCCAGTACCGTTTCTCAGATATCCGAAAAAGTTGTTTTTAGGTATTTCGAGGGAGGCATATCATCGGTGTATTTCTGGGATCTCGACCATGGATTTGCCGGAGTTGTTCTTATCAAAAAGGTAAGCTATGCTTGTTAGATTTTATTTGTGCCTTGCGACTGTTTGATTGTTCGCCTATTGAGGAGAAGGAAGCATTTACATGTTTTTTGCCCTCACCTTGTAGCGTTTTTCCTGGAGACCAGGGGCCGTAAGGTATGCTCTCCTGTTCGGGGCTGGGACGTCCCGATTCGGGTCTCCCCGAGAATGGCGTCCCCGAAAGCAGCCGTAAGGTATGCTCGCGGGGCGTCCCAGGGGAGTCAGACATACAGAGTGTCCATGGCGCTCAAAAGTTGGCAAGTTGCCAGATCCGTAAGTTTAGGCTTGGAAAGCTGCCAAGTTTAGGGTTTCAGCGGATGGTGACCTATATTTTCACTGAAAGGAGTAAGAAGCACAAAATTTTGGAACTTGCACTTTCCCTCTACTATACTAAGTATAGCTTCTTGGCCAGTAGAGTGACGTAAGCCTCAAAATAGAGCTGTATTTGACTTGTTGGCGCTGGTGTTTCTTACTAACTATTCACGTAGAATCAAAGGAGATATGTTCCGGATCTGAATCTTAATCGCTATGCATGCGAATGAATTGAATTGTCCTGCTGGTTGGTTGCATCCTTTGTAGTGCTGAGAAGCAAGTACTCCACTTTGCCTTCCTTAGGCGTCTATGACATGCACAACAAGAAATCCATCATAAATACGTTCACAAATCAGGGCTGTGTAATGTGTGTGCACAAAACTTGCGGCATTAAGGATTCCACTAAACTTCAACTGAATAACGCTGCAGGGCTAAGGCTAAAACATCGAGAGAGATAATATATGATAAGAGAGATATAAGATAGATAATATATAGAGACAATACAAAAAATTATAGGTATACAGTTTCGCGAAGAAGCGAAGCAATCGTTTCCATTGATCGCATGTTACGGCTATACATCACTTCTCATACCAGCTCTTCAGTAGACTCAGGGTGTAGTTCATTGAGACAGGGAGCCATTTTTTCGCCTTTTGCAGTGCAAAACATTCCTCGCTACGGGAAGCTTGGGTCCACCGCTGATCATTAGTGGAACTCCAACAACTAAAAGTTTTTCGCGCTGCGAAACGCGGAAAAGTCGCCTTCTGCCAAGATGATGGGAATCAAAGGAACAGCTCATCTTGTCTATTGTAGATACTATTAAAGGATCATTTTTGTGAGCAAATCTAGTCGGAGGGAGCGTCGCGGCGCGTCCACGCTGAGGTGTTGCACTATGGATGCCTCACACACACGCCTTACCCAACTTGACTTCGTTTAAATGTCTGGCAGTGTGTGAGATCCTGGAAGAGTGAGTCATTTTGAAGTGTAGAAGAAAGGGCTCGCATAGGTTTTGTAGGGGTGGGGAGGGGGAGGGAGGGAGGAATATTAG